TACGCTAAAACGCTAAAAGCGATGCAAGAGAGAAACCTTTGCTTGCAGGTTAGAATGAGCCGGTTTTCTGAATGGAGTTCAGTCCGTTTCAATGTGACCATCACTAATTTTTTTGGTACAATAGAGAGATTTGGAATCACGTTAACATCATTACAGTAAACTTCGCATTCAGATTGATAATTGCTTAAATTAGCACAAAAGGTAAAAAGCAATTCCACTGGTCGAGCCTTGAAAAGCACTTTTTTGTAGACCGCGAGCGGTCGTCTTTCTTTCCTCAGAGGCACGCACGCGCCACGGCGAGCAAAAAAGTCAAATCACCCTCGTTCCTCGCCGCTTCGCCGCTCGCCCCTCACGTGTGCTCTGTGCTATCGGTCCACTGTGACTCACAAGAATATTAAGAGACTGCTCGCAGTCTAACTTTTGTTTGGATATAATGAAAAGTATTAAAGGGGGAAAATAGCTAAGCCAAGTGCTATTGCTGTTTGGCCTAAACAAGACTTTAAAACTCTGATGCCCAGAGTGAGGAATGTGAAAAAAAAAAGTATATATTTAATAAAACATTTTCAAAATGGAAACAAATAAACAATAAACTCAGTATAATAATCAGATTTGAAGACATTAAGTTTAAATTTCCTGGATGATAACTCTTTATCAACGGTTAACATTAACGATTGAAAAAAAAAATACAATAACAAAATTAATCTTAAGAGTGACTCACCGAGAACTGGATGAAAGTTGGAATTCTGTTGACGGCAAGTATGAGTTGCAACTTGGACAGAAGTAGATATTTTTCGTAATACTGACGGATCTTGTGGAACCTTAAAACGAGAAAGAAGATAAAAGGTTTTGCTACCATATATTGCAAAAGAGCAGATGGGGATCCAGTTAGGAATTTAACTGTTATTTTTATTATTTTGTTATTTTTTTATTTTACTGTTATTTTATAATTTTACTGTTATTAAGGCGTGGTTGAGGTGAAGAACATCAGAACATTTTCACTAAAGAAAAAAAGGCATGTCTTAACCTTCTCTGCCCAGCAAAAGTACATCAAGAATATATAACCTTAAATTCGTCAGATAACAGATGAGCTTATGATTTTACTGAATTTTTAGGAACCTTTTTCACCGGGTGTATGAGCAACTTATTTTTCGAGTCAAGCGTTGTAATTTTCCGCTGCATACTGGTTCATGAATTCGCACTTCTTTTCTATCCTCCAGAAACTATACTGCCATCATGGAAAGGAAAATAGCTTGTATAACAGTCAATTTCGAATGAATCCCAAATTTCGCTAGTAAACAACATTCTCGTCCCAGACTTCCTTAAAATTTCCATCACGTGAGCAAACTGAACTGAAACGGAGTTGTCATGTGATGTTTTGCGGCGGGAATAAAACGTTAATGAGTAATATTACTGCACCTTGACGATCCGAGCTGCCTCGGGGTTGAAAAGAGGTGTTTGCAATACTGAAGAAACAAAGTTAAAATTCTCTTGCGTAACCCTGAAAAATAAAATAAGCGCGTGTAAGGTAGCTTTATGAATAGCCTGCGAACAAGCTCTTCATTTGGGGGAGTCGCGCTTCACTCGCTATAAATGGAGAGCTTGCGAGCAGGCTCCTCTCGAGAGGACAATTGACAACAGTGCGGGGCTTGTTAGCCTCGTCTGCAGTCGCTGACGATCACCTTTTTGGGGGGTTATTCGGGTTAATTCGTTCCCATCATACCCCTCACGCGCTTTTCGCTTGTCTCCAGCTCTCGCCCTTCTCGCTTGAGATTATTATTTCTAGGTTACGGTGTTTATCAACAGTGTGAATAGCACGTGAATTTAAAATTTTGTATAATTGTGTCTACAGGGAAATTAATTTACTAGTACCTATAAGAGGCCATTTTGAAAGCGCAGCAAAGTACCCTATATTCGCTGGCAATTAAGTCCAGACCTGCCTGCTCTGATTTTCTATTTAAATCAACTAAGGAGATGCTATAAAGTATAGAAATATAAAAATACTTTGCGCTTTTGATCTTCCTTTGACGCAGACACTTTGAACTTTTGGTATTTTTGAAGACACGACTGCCGTTAATTATGCAAATTACCATGAACAAGTGATTCCAAGAAAAAATATTGTCACCTTGTTTTTTCCTTATTGGTCGGAAATATTGCCAAGAAAAACAGAAATTTAGTTGTTGCATAAAGGAACAGTGTTTACTAGAGGCCTTGACTGGCAAGTACCTTGTTCTTACTTTGCCCTAGACAGCTGAATTAGGCCTCTGCTGACGATAATTATCATGATAATTATAGAGCTTGGGGGAGGGGGAAGAGCTGAAAAAAGGCAGGTTTCTTGGGCCCGATAAGCTCCAAAGTCACAGTAACGAAGGAAAAGGAAAGGAGAAAAAGAAAGAGCGAGGAGGAAGAAAGGAGAGGAAGAGAAAAAAGCAGTGGCTGCACTCTTGGTTTTTATAACGGCTACTTTGGAGATCAAAGGGGATCATTTCGGGGTCGGGAGCTGCACATGTCATTTTTGAATCATAAACGGCTATTACTGAAACTTCGACCGCGCGTTACACGATAAGGTCAACAGCTTTACATCCACCATAATGCAAAAGAACAATATTCCTGTTTTTCATAGACAAATTTAATTTTAAAGGATCAGGTATCATCAGTACTGAACTTTCTCGCTTTCAATGTTTCAATTCCCCTGCGGTAAGAGTGACAGTTTAACTTTCTCGCGGACAAAAGCTACCGCAAAAAAAGTCTTAACAAGAAGATGCAGATATATTTCAGAAGGGATCACCTATACCTCTGTTAAGATCATTGCTATTGTATTAAGTCATTCGGTTAATGCTACGGATCTCGTTTAGATCAAGAGGTTGTTCTCTCTTGGTTTAGACAATCCTTTACGGCGGAGTTTTACGCCTTGAACGCTAACATGTATACGGGATCTTTAATAAATGCTACACATAAATGGGGCCACTGTCTTGTGTCGAGAGTGAAGCGAACTAAATTTTACTGGTTGTTTATTACACTATATTGTGATTCGTCACTTTGAATTCCTGTTTCGGTTTCCATACAATAAGGCCGTTAAATGATATACTAGGTGAAAAGCAAAGAAAACGATATATTACCCCTTCTCCTTCTCTTTGAAAGGCCTGAAACGCGTGCGCAGGTTTAATAGGCATGCAGAAAATGACGCTTACTTTGAAGTTCTTTGGGTCCTTATTATAATTTAGCGACACAGGAACATTGAACAATGTAAACATAAGGTAATGCCATGCGTGATGCATAAAACAACTAAAGCAACAATCTTATATCCAACTATCCGTGCAGATGCACAAGAGAGCTGCACGCACCTTGACTTTGTTTAAAAGCCGTTTAATGAGCTTAACGGATTCCCACTCTTTATTGATCATCAGGCGTATATAAATAAGTGTTCCATAGCCTAAAAGAGACTGAAGTAAACAACCCTTAAATACATTAATTCCATCTTAAAGAAAACCTCAGAAGGAAGTCGGACATGGTTTGTGTGTGAACAATACTACTGGAATGAACTGTCCGCTGCTGGCCCGAAAGAAAAGTGAAACGGTTAAATCATTTCAAAAGAAATTGTATGCCTTTTTACTGAAATTACAAGCTGGGCAAATTCGATTGTAAGGTTTGAATATCTTAATGGAGGCCCCACTGTACAAAAATATACTAAATCAATCATTCATTCATTCATGCATTCATTCATTCATTCA